GCATACAAAAAATCACACCAAATAACCTCTACAAATTCATATAAACTCTATACCCCCGATTCACGAAATGGGGGTGTACATTTTATGTTGTTACAATTTCTTGTAACAACAGTTTGGCGCTAGAGGAAGGGCACAGAACCTACCATGGGGAGACACGATTAATGGACCCTCGATAAATCGGTCCTCGTTGCTAAGGCTAAACGTGTTTCATACCCTGAAGTTGGTATGACCTGGCCAAACGCAACACAGCTGGATACTTCCAAGCCCTGAAGATGGCTTGGGGAGGCTGATGCCCCTCGTGGCTAAATCCTGAAGTTGATTTAGCGGGCTTACAATAATAACCGACATCAATAATGTTCTTTTGCCAAATCCTGAAGTTGATTTGGTGCGAATAATATTCCGGCAAGGCATAACACCTACCGGCAAAAAAGTCAGGCTCGACAAAACATCGAGGTAATATCATTTATCGTACAGTAATTATTTCCCGCACGTGCTCATTATATATCCATACATTCATACATACATTCATTCATACATTCATCATATACGTGCGTCATACATATATCTTGACATGAATACTTCTTTTCCAAACCCTGAAGTTGGTTTGGCAAGGCTATACGCCCAATCTTTTCCAAACCCTGAAGTTGGTTTGGCGAGGCTAACGCCTTTCTTAAAATAACATGAAACATCAGGAGCACTACCCGATCGTGCAATAATTCAATAAAAATCAGACCGAGGACCGGACAAGGAATTATCCGACCAGGTCCATATTAATACGAAAAATAAAAAATCATGTCGTCTCAATACGACGTCAAAATCGTGAATCCCATAACAACATCATGGGGCCCGAGTACTCACACAAAGCCATCATTACGGACGCGAATCTATTAAAATGTGTCATATTACGTGTAAAACGTGAAAACTGGGTACAAAATTACCCGACTAGGCCATCCAGGTCTCCATTTATATAGCAATCTCAAAAAGTTGACTATCCACACAGTCAACTCCATTCGTTAGAACAAGTAATACAATTGACATTAATAAGTCAGGCCGAAGCCTGGGCACGAGCGATAAAGCGACTACGGGTCCCAAAGTACCCGGACGACATTCATACGTCACAACATTCAAACATATTATAAAGCATAAGTCAGCCAAAATTGACTATACATGCGACTTCAGAACAGTTCTATTCAGAACGTATTCTAAAGTCGGGGGCCTACTGTTGTTACCTAAATTTTGGCCTCGCCTATTAAGATATTACACGTGGATATATATATAAAATAGCAGGTTCTTTTATCTGTTCAATATTGATCGAGTTCCCAGAAGACGAGGTCCGTATTCAAAGACCGCCAGCTCGACCCTGATATCACAAGGAAGCCGCTTATACAGACACGTCAATTGCTGACAATACAAATACCATTCGAAGTACCAGTCAATTTGTCAGTCAACCCAAATATTTATCGGGCCCTGCGTGGTCATATTTATTATTTATTGGGCCATGCGCGGTCATGTTCTATCGTATAAGCCCATTAGATATACAGGCCCATTAGCCCAAATGTAAATAGGGGCTGAGCAGATAACTACGAGAGGCTTTTTCATTTTCTGCCTTATCTACACTAAAAGGAGGCACCGCCTCAGAGATTTTTTCTCCAGATTTCTCTATCATTCAATAATACAAACAAATAATACACAGATCATATCTTACTCATTTTTCTTGACTTTCTGTGTTCAATTCTTTTGAATTCTTGATCACAATATTATACAGCAAACACCAACAAACAAAGAAAAAGGGATAGATCTTCATCTCCCACAAATCTCTACAAATTCATATAAACCTTATACCCCCTATTCACAAAAGGGGGGTGTACTTTTTGTTGTTACAAAATCGTATAACAACACGGTCATATATATTAGGCCTTTTATATCTTCACTAGTATTCGGCCTTGTGCATTTGCACAAATGTAAATAAAGTATTGTAAGTTACTTGTATGCATATAATTTTAAAATTATAAATTATATAATAATATTATATTTTAAACATAAGGTATTATAAGTTATATTTATGCATAATATTAAATTATAAGTTAGATAAATGTATTATTTTTTAAATTCGATATTTAGTTAAAAACTTAAAATAAATGGTACATAACGATTTAATTGCATATAAATCCCTATATTGATTGCATAAAAGATAATAAATAATATAATTTTATATTTAACCCAAAAAAGTCCAAATAATCTTTTATCATTAATAGGATAGGGTGGATTAATGTAGTAGTAGTAATAATAATAATAATAATAATAATAATAATAATAATAATAATAATAATAATAATAATAATAATAATAATAATAATAATCTATATATATATATATAATTTGGAGCAACATTATTTAATTTTATTGTCATGCATTTAATTATATTATCCCGCCTAAAATTTCAGCATTTAATTTGATTCTTTTCAATTCCCACCAAAAAAAGTTATCATTTCTCTTACTTAATTATGTTATACTGCATTTAATTATATTATTCGCCTATGAGTTTAAGAATATAAACTAGTATGAATCCCCTGCATATTCATTAAAATTTATAAATTAAAATTCTTATTAAATAAAATTTATATATTAAAAATATGGAATCAATATGTGATACTATTTACATATATTAATTTATTGAAAATGGTATATGAAATTTAAATTGTGCAAAAGTACATAAAATATGTCTAAAAATTAGTGCACAACCCGTACTGTGAATGTAACTGATAATAAGTTACATTATATTCATTTCAAAATAAGTGTTGTTTTAAATTTTTGTTCAAAATTTCGATTTGACTGCAATGTGATTCCATAAAATAAATATCTTGATAAAAATTTGTCATATATTTAAAATTATTTGTAAATAATAAGTATAATTATAAAACTTATATTGTGGTATTAATTAAATAAATTTATTCTTGTCCAAAACAAAAAATTTAAGTCGTTGAGTACTCTATTAAACTATAAATAATTGACTATTCCATTACGTCCAAGTTAATATTGAACCGTAAGTTATGAATAATTACTTATTTGACTTTTAAGTTTGGAACACAAATTTGGAGTACACAAAAAAACTTGTTATATAGTTCATATAAATAATTTATATTATCTCTTAATGTTCTAGATTTGTTGTTGGTTAAAATTTATCAACTAATTCTATATAATTAAATTAAAAATTTTAAATTACATTAACCAATATTTGTTGAAAATCATGTTTGGTTTTCAAAAGGAATACATATTAATTTTTTGAATTATCATCAATATCTTATGACATGTTATTATAGGAATATAATAACATTTGAAAATTGTATCACCTTAATTTTTTAACAAATCAACCAAAAACTTGATTTCCATACCCATATCAAATAAAACTCATACGACTTATTTTGTTTTTGAAATTGCCAAATATACTTCCATCCATGCCAAATAAAATTCATACCATTTAAATTCTTACATTTCAGACTAAAATAAAATCGCCCACTTTGTACCATAAAATCAAATATTATTAATAACAACACATTTTTTACAAAAAAAAAAAA